CCAAAAATCATAAAAAGTGGTCTCGTTAGATTCAGGTTGTCATGCCGAGTCGACTGATATCCAATTTTTCCAGATCGGCCATTTTGGCTGTCGGCCATTTTGAATTATGTGCTAAAATGCTGTATTTTTTTAACGCATGAACGAATTGTTACAAAACTCGGTATGGGTCATCAGTACGATGCCTTGAAGTTTCGAAAGAGCGCCACCTAGTGGTAAAATTTATTTTTCAAATGCTTATAACTCTGGGTGTGGTTGACTTATTTTCACAAGAGTCATCTCGTTGGGTTTCTGAATCCTTGCCGAGTCCACAGATACCAAACATGCTAGGTTTCGTCTTACGGTTTGTGTAGCGTTGTGATTTAGCGCTTAAAAAACATTTGCGGATATCTTCGAAAACGCTAGTCCGATCGAGACGAAACCACCGTCAGAAGTTTGGAAACATAGGTCGCTGACTAAATACCAATACCCAAATGCCAAAATATTGATAGTAAGGGGTCGTAAAATTCAATCAAAGTCACGTGTCAGTCATTTTTGACGCGTTTCTTCATATTTATGTCTATAACTCCGAAGCGAATTGAGATATTTTCACCAAATTTGGCACACACATGTATAGGCTCATTCTGAGGACACATGAAAACAATTGTGGGATTTTGCCTCTTGGTGGCGCTATAATAGAACAAAACATGAAATTCCCATTGACTTCAATACAGTTTTGTTATGTAAAATGCTATACTTAAATGCATTGCTGTAACATTATGAAACTCAGAATTTGCCACCAACACCATCCCCTGAAGGTACTCAAAAGATTTCGAGTTAATGCCACCTGTTGGTCAAAAGTTAAATTAAATTTCCAAAAATGCTAATAACTTTTGAATAAATATGCCTATTGTAATGACACTAGACATTAGACTAAGATAGATTCCTTGGGTCATGCCGAGAACAAAGATACCAAGTTTGACGTATTTGGACGATTTTCCTGTCCGCCATCTTGATTTTCATTGAATACCTACTTTTTCAAACTCCTCCTAGGCCGTTTGTCCGATTTTCACCAAATTCGAATCGTATCATCTCCAGACCGTGCTGAATAAAAGTTATGGATTTCGTGTTGATAGACGAAACCGTTTTCTTATACTGCAGCAGCATATTTGAGGCATGTGGCCAAAAGGACTATTCAGGCTTCATATCTGCAATGCCTCGACATATTGACACCAAACTTTGTGGGCTCTACTTTAACGATTTAAAACTCAAGTGTCAAGCGCAAAGCGCAAGTAACTTTTTGGGCGGATCTCGGCGCTGTTGCTATTTAACCGGCGGGATAAATTACTCCTGCGCTTGACGCAAATCTAAAAGGGGTTGGTCTGAAGTAGCTTCATTATTCATAGGTGTGGTTTGAGCGTAACAGGAAACAAACCAATAAGAGCGTCACATCATATTCCCTTTAAGAGCATGATGAACGAGGTGCGCTTGTTCCATGACGCAATACTATTATAACGGCGCATTTACCAGGCGCGCTTCAGAATCGGTTCACAGCCGAGGGGATCGATGTTCTCGTCAGGGCCGTAAAAGAAAGAGAAGTGACATTGGGGATGGGACAAACCCACCCAAATTAGCTTCGGTTAAACATGCATATAATAATTTGGGTAAATGTGTAAGCTTTATGCCTATTTTTCCCATCGTCATGGACACAACAATGATTTCCCTCGTGTTTTAATATTTTTCCTTATAATAATGTATCATTTGCAAAAAGTAAAATGGATCTGTGTTGATGAGAGAATCATCTACAGTGTATGCGCGTTGTTCACACTCTGTATTATGGCCAAGCATGCGCGCTTAACCCTCTGGGGACCAGAGTGTTTTTGGGGCCCTTGGGATGTTTTGACATGCACTGACATTTGTGCTTTTTTCAGTTATTTATAAACATGTTAATGGCAAAGGTGTAAATTCACTCTATATAGCACACACTTGGCTACCATGATGAGTGAGCAACATGTATGTACATGTTTGTATTTTTAATAGAATAATGTTTATGCGTGGTTATTGAAAAAAATAAAAATGAAAGTTGCTGAAATAAGACCACAAAACACATATTGATTATTTCTTCACAAGACTTTTGAAAATTGTATCACATAGCCTAGAATATTTGCTCCAAAACTATGTGAGAATCATCCTGACTACTCATTCAGATAAGTCAATAAAGTCTTTTACATTTTTAATGACGTGTTTTGTTTGAAAAAGCTTTATGCAGGAGGCGTGGTCTCTCATTAATATGTGTGGAATTTCACACCTGAGAAAGACAAAGACCCTCCCCATAATGGCCCTATTAGGTGCTATCAGGCCATATCATTACAGGAGCCTTGCACAAAGAATGAGGAGATTTAAAAAAGAATGGCTTTTAGATTGTTTGGATTTATATAAGGAAAATACAGGGTGCATAAGTCTGGACACTTCTATCACACACCCTTCACCATATAGACATGGTTTTATTTCAGTTCAAAGTTCAAAGTTAGAGTTGGAAACATCTTGAAAAGAAAATTGTCTTTCTCCATAAATGTCTTAGTTTGATCATACATATTTCAAAGTTGAGGATTCATTATTTTGATATAGCTTGAACAAACACCATAACATCTTAGTTGATTAGTTTATTGACAAAACATACTATATATTTAACATATGAGCAGAAACTCCTAAAAAAAGCTTATTTGATGTCTATTTTAGAGTAAAAACTTTATCCAAAACGAGTCAACGAAATGTTATTTAGTCTGTAACAGTGCGTATCTGTGCGTTCATTCATTCATTCATTCATTCTCACACACACACACACACACACACACACACACACACACACACACACACACACACACACACACACACACACACACACACACACACACACACACACACACACACACACACACACACACACTTACACACATGATTCACATTTAACAGTACGCTATTTTTCCGTTTACAGACACTAACGTTATTCTATATCGCGATTAGAACAAAGCACTTGCAAAAAACACTTACTTCTCAGCTGAATCTGTTCATCCTCGCAGTGAAAATAAACCCAGTGGTAAATGTCCCAGGATTGTTCCTCATATAGCCGCGCAAGACGACAGTAGATTAATCTGACTAAAAAATAATGTGTGTTTTCAGAGTTTATGGGCGTTAACGCGTCTCAATGTGTTGCTTCACATATTTGCGTTTGAATAGCGCGTGCTCTCCGTGGGCGTGTCACATTACCAGGGATAATCAGCTGAGAGAACGATAATGAGACGGGCTGACACGTCTCTCTTTTTATATAGATGACATAAACGGAGAATATTAATTTTAGTTTTGAATCGGATCATTTAAAAGTACAAACTCAAACGATTTAAAAGATATATTGCTTATGGCTGGGTGAATAGTATTAGCTGAGTTGTGTTGAAGATTAGAGACGTGCTCCAGAAAAAAAGTTCACGGTGACTGAGAGGCAGAACGCACACCCTGTTTATTTTCTTTATTTTACAAAAGCACAATATTTTATTTCGATTGTATGTGGGCACATAAAAAAGTAGACATTTAACAGATTATTTTCTCATATTTCTTAACTCTATATGAACAGAAATGATGGTAGTACTTTAAGTCTATTTTTCTGCTATGTGAAAAAAAACGAGCAAAACGCGCCCGCGCGTTTCTGGTCCCCAGAGGGTTAAAATAGCATCTGAATGTACGCGCAACACGCCACTGACTTTAGACTAGGTTTTTTCTGGTCAGTGGTGCAATTGTTTTCTGGAACTGCAAAATAGCACCAGGGATTGTTTGCGCCGGAACACGCCTCCTTTTTTGCGCTGAACCGCCCAGGGAGCGCAAGTTCATTCCCTAGTTTGCCGGCGTGCGTCTGTGGAGGGAAAAGTCCGCTTTGCACGGGTGCAAAATACGAATGATACAATCAAATGTACAAAGTCAATTGCGCTGGGTGCAAGATAGGGCCCTGTATGTGTCATTGTCACCTCACTCTGACCACACCACGTCAATTTCGTAACTGCGCCAGCTACTGGTCGAAAGTGATAATCCATTAAATCATACTTTTAGTTAATGTATATGATTTTTCAGCCATTTTACCAAAATTCTCTTAAAATGTCTTTAATTGCTCCTTGCTGCAGTTGATCTGCCACTCCCACCCATGATGGCATCTGTTGCCGTTTCTTGCGCTTGGCCGCGGTAATGCTTGCAGCTTGCAGCTATATTTATTATTATTATTTGTTATGACAACTTGACATAAACCAATACATCATAACCTGTCAGTGTCTTTGTCATGACAACTTTGGCCTCATGACAGCCAATGTCAAAACCAACCACCTGACAGTTTAATGTAATGTTAACCAATAAAGCTTAGTGGTTTCTTAAGTTTGATAATTAATCTGCTATGACATGTTTCTAACATATTTATGACAGGTTGTGTTGTCTTAGTAATGTCAAGTTGTCAGGACAAAGATACTGACAGGTTATGATGTATTGGTTTATGTCAAGTTGTCATTACCAAGACATCTCAAACAATGTCATATTTGCATTCAAAATGTCATAATTGAGCAAATTACACTTAATGACAGTTGTCATAAACATGCATGAAACCTCCTTCATATTCATGACATGTGTCATGTCATGATTATGAAGGTGTCATGTCAGTCTTATGCACACCCCTTCAAGTAAAGTGTTACCACGTTTTCTAACAGTTTGCACTGGTCAGTTGAACTACCAGATCAAATTCAAAAGCACCTGCAAATCACACCCATTTGTTCTTCATTTCTTCTTCAGTATTGGCCTTGACATGGAACATTCTGCCGAAAATTGTTAATAATATTGCTAATTCATGTTTATTAAAAAAAAAAAACCTCACATTCAAACTGTCATCTTTGAAACCATAGAAAATGATATTATGTGATATTATTATTTTAATTTGTTTGTGAAGCTATGAGAAATCTGATTGTTGATGTAAAAAGTGTTCAAAGGGTTCTTACCTTGTCACCTCTTGGGCCAGGTGGACCCTAATGGGAATTATAAAAGAGAAAACAAAAATGTAAAGTTTGCTCCATAAACTGAAACGTAAAAAAAGAAAAGGAATAAACGTGTTACACATGGATTGTATATATTGGTGTGCTGTACAGGAATTCCACAAATAACACACGTCTACAGAATATAAAGATGCATAGTATCCCACACATGCTAAATTCAGAGTGAATGGTATTATGCCTTTAGTGTCAATCTCCAGTTGTTCTACTCAGTTTCAGGCTTACAAGGTGACTCTCTCTGCCTTTCAACATGATGACCTAAATTCTGTCTTCTCCCACTTTGAACACATTAAACATTAAGTGTTGTTTTTGAATATGAAATCTTTGCACTGTTATATGACAGACCTTTGCTGCTCAGCATGCTAATGAAATGTGGTGATTTCTTGGTACAAATGTGACCAGCTACAAAAGGTCAGTACTTGTTTGTATGCACAAGAGTGATCTGTAAATTTTCTCAAAAAGTATCCATTGGATCCACTGGAATCTACAGACAAAGATGGAAACACAGTTGATGCCATGATGCCATTGCTGATGGGAGAAAGTGTTCCTGGGCTATGTAATACTGGAAAAACGGAAGAACTGGAAGAGAGGGCAACTCTCTGAGAAAGCAAAGGAAATTAACATTTGTACTCTCTCTTGTGAAGTTAGCATCACCATTCGAGAAGCAAGTCTCAGTATCATCCTAATCTACATCTCTTTCCCTCTTCCCCCATTCCTTCTGTCTCTCATGCTGAGATCACCAAAATTCACCCAAAAATCTATGTGGTTTAATGTGAATAATTATCATACGGTATTATACATGTTTGGTATCATTTGAAATGTCTCAGTGCGACTGGTACAAATGTCTCATTCTCCACAGAAGTAAACCAAAAGGTAATAAAAAATTTTTATGAGTTTAAAGATACATTGCTTACAGAGGAGGGCGTGTCTTCCAGGCAAATGGCATCCTGCTCTCAAAAGGTGTAAACTCTGAATGCAAATTCCCATTGTTAGCTAATGTTTCCAGGTGAAAGAAGTTTCTGTCTCGGTCTGGGTATTTAAGGAAAGAGCACAAAAGTCTCAGGGCGATTTGTAATGAGATCGGCCCATAATGCATGTCATGTATCATGTATGTCTTGAGTCAGGTACATCTTTTACTCTTTATCTCTGAGCATTAGATGTTATTGTATTGATTATCTTTGAACTGATTAGGAAATTGGCATGATACACTTACCTGACATAATAAATTGTTACATTTGATTTTATTCTGAATTACTCTGAAGTTATTTTCTCAAGTAGATTAAGTGAAGTCTTAGACCCCATTTACACCTGGTATTAAAATGAGATCTGTATCCAGATAAGTTATCCGGATAATAAAAAACGCATGTTAATGCAAGGTGTAAATACGTTGTGATCGGATTGTGATCGGATCTGCCTGACCACATCTGGAGGTAGTTTGGCTCGCATTGTGTTCGGATCTTTACTAGGTGTAAACGCAATCCGTACGACGTGATGGCATTCGTACCTGCCAAACGTCATCCTCCAGCGCTCCTCAAAGCCAGTCACCACGTCCCGATGCCCTTGTCCCTTGGGCAGTTCGATACAGTGACCAAACACAGACCGTAGCGCTCTGGCGACCTGGTAGACTCCGTGGCATACAGTTGCTGTACTTATTCCAAAGAGATGAGAGATTGTCCTGTACCCAGACCCTGTGGCATAATACCAAAGCGCAGCTGCTACTCTCTTCTCCACAGACACCGACGACCGCAGCAGAGTATTTCTCCGTGACAGCAGAGGCCGCAACTTCTCGCAGATGTAGTCGAACAAATGTCGGTTCATTCTGAAGTTTGCCATCCAGTCATCTTCGCCAAAAGACCCCAAGACAATACGTTCCCACCACTCATTACTCCGTTCTCTCATCCACAGAGACCGGTTCACTGTCGTAGCATTCACAGTAGCCGCAAAAACAACAGCTGCAAACAGGGCCTGTCGTCTTTTCTGTTTGCTCCTAATAGAAAAACGTTGAAAATGACCCCTACCGCGACAGAGAAAGTAGAAACAGGCGGTACAGTAATAGCATCTCTAACGATCCTACACCTGTTGACAAACTACAGCTGATTTCCCGCCACCTCAGTGCTCACGTGCAGGTGTCACTCTGGAGGACAGAGATCCGAACTCGATGTGGATAACGAGAACGCATTAAAAATACAAGGTGTAAACGCAAAGGTAAGATCAGAACACTTATTATCCGGATAACTTATCTGGATACAGATCTCATTTTAATACCAGGTGTAAATGGGGTCTTATGTTTTCGCAAATCTGCGTTCAGGGTTAAGTACATACTAGATACCAGTTTAGATGTAGCGTGGGGCACGTCTGGTGGGATTCTAGATTCCTGACTAACTCCTTGACTTTAAGTTGTTATGCAGTCGCAAATAGGGGGCTAGGTAAGAATAGTATTGAGGTAATAGCAGCGTTTAGAGCGGCACTATCTTAATGTACAAGCCATAACCTCTGGTTATTGTTTGGGCTTTAACTAAGTTGTTATATGGGCGACTGTAGGGGGCTACATGGGTACTTTTTAACAATAGCAAGCGTGTGCGGCATTGTTAAACTGCTTTAGCCATAACCTCTGATTATCGATCAGACTGAAGAGTTTGTGATCGTGAGATCTGCGTAAAAGAACGGCTGGCGCGAGACTCTCTGAGCGACATAGATTACTAATGAACGAGTAAAATATGAAGTAAAAAGTTGATTAGAATAAATCAAATGTATTGCTAAAATATTATATAAATGACCAATAACCAATTGGCAATCTAACCTAAATTCGAGGTCATGATAAAATGCAGTCAGATTAAAGTTGAATTGGAATTCAATTACTTTGCCACGTGGAAAAGACAGTAACACGCGGTAAACCTTCACCCGCTTATCGGAAACTGTCATTGGACCGATTGGGCAGGCCTTACACACATAACTCCATATCAATCCTAAGCTTCACAACACAGGATATTATTAACCAATATAAAAAACAGATGTGTGCATTTCTTTATATCACTTTTAACCCAGCAAAATATTCAGGGCAGTTGTTAAATTTATTGATTGAACAATATTACATTTGAAATTATGAAACTTATGAACATATAAATAGTGTAAAGTACAACTATATTTTAGTATTAGTTGTTGCCTGTGTAGGATTTAAGGGCGAACCAAACACAAATGAATCTTCCAGATGATTCATTCAAACATAATTCTACGCAGAACTCAACACTCCAGACATTACCAAGCAGCAGTATATGTTAACGTTAGCTCAGTCAACATAAGGCTAACATCAACAGGTGTAGACAGATTATCTTGACCTGAGCTAATTTACTGAAATCAACCAACTCACACTTCCTTTCTTTCTTTTCATCCATGAGGATATTAAAGTCACCTGTTGTTGTTTCTGGCATTTCATCGCTGTCTGTGCCGCAACCTGCTAATTAGAGCGTTCAATGAGATATTTTTAGAGTGTGTACGCAACGTTCCAGGACGTGGACGCGCGCATCGACACAGACTCGGTCCTGCTCCTCCGTGGCGATGACGGCGTGCGGTTAAAAATCATAACAAACAAATTTGAAAGTGGGGGTGACACAAACGAGATTTTGAAAAGTGGGGGGGACATGTCCTGTCCCCATAGGAAATTACACCCGTGCAAGTTATTATTACTAAGATGAGCATGAACCTGTGCTGCCACTGCTTGTTCAAGAATCTTTGAAATAAATGGAAGATTTGAGATGGGATGGAAATTAACTAGAATTTTAGGGTCTGCACCAAGTTTCTTTAGCCTGGTTAAAACCAGACCATTCTCAGTTGTAACTGAGTTATGGTCTGGCAAAGCGTCATAGACAAATCATTTCCAGAGGGCGTCACCAACGGACGTCGCGGATAGACCTAAAACCAATCAGGGGTGCGTTTCCCGAAAGCATCGTTAGCCAACTATGGTCGCATGTTCCGTCGTTACCAATAGAGTTCAATGGGATTTGCGACCAACTTGCGACCATGGTTGGCTAACGATGCTTTCGGGTAACGCACCCCAGAGCGATGAAGGAGATGACGTATGCAGAGCGGAGTGTTGTTCTTTGCTCGGTTTTTAACAAAAAGGAAACGTTCAAATCGCTTAAAACAGACGTGATAGCTGATTCGAACGAGTGATGTTCGACGGCGGCATCCATCTTTGTAATGTAGGCTACAAAATGATGCTTCAAAATCCCAGCGCTGTCGTCATCGTGTAAAGCCCGCCCCAACGTTTCTGATTGGTGCCTCGATTTCGACGGATTGGAAATGGGCTTGAATGAGCTCTTTGCCAGACTAACTTTCAGAGCAAATCTAAATTTGCCGGAAGTTGTCTGGGTTTTCCCAGGCTAAAGTTTCTTATAGTGTTATAGCAGCTATTTTGAAAAATGATAGAACAATGCCGGAGCTAAGGGAAGTGTGAATAATACGAGTTATAAGAGAAGAAAGAGAAGGAAAACAGGCCTTTACCAAATGAGTTGGTATAGGATCAAGTAAACATGTGGAAGAATTAGATTTGTAAATTAACTAAGAAATTTCTCCTTCGGATGGCAAGTTGAAAGAAGAAAGGAAGCAGAGGGAAAAATTAATTGAGACACTGTGTGGTGAACTACAGTAAGGGGTAGCCAAAGAGGCCAATTGTTGGTGGATGGTAGTTATTTTGTCATTGAAAAAAGACACATTTATCACATTGAGCAGTGCAGTACAGGTGTGCAGGAAGTGTGTCAGGAGGTTTCAGAATACGATTTACAGTTGAGAACAGTGCTTTAGTATTACCATCTCCAAACTCAATTAAATGTGAATAAAAAACATTTTTGGCAACATAAAGAGCATCTTTATAAAAATGAACATGTTCACTATACAGCTCTCTATGTATCATAAATCCAGTTCGTTTATAAAGGCGTTCCAGTCAGACTAGTTTTGAGCTGGCGAAGTTCAGGA